CTGACGAGATATTTCACGAAGCCAACTGAAAATTCATTTGTGAGAGGTAACTTTTCCAACACAGGCTTTCAGTAACTTGGATGTCTTACCTGGTTACAACCTGATGTGTGTATGCTCTATTGGGGCTTCCAAAGGATTTAGCCAGGCCAAAATCTGCCAGTTTTAGAACTCCATTTTCATCTAGCAACAAGTTGTTTGGTTTAAGATCCTGTATCATGAAAGTTTGAAATAACTAAGCAGGTGGAAAAGAGTTTTATCGTAACATATTTTATGCTTAACCAAAAAGGGTAATGCCCCCAATTTAAAACAATGTACTCTTTCCATTGATGAATAGTTCTACCAAAGCCAATCAATTTGGTACTATTATACACAGAGATCTCTGGTCAGGCAGCTCATTTGGGGAGCCTCAGCTACCTGCCTCACATGGATTTCTATGAAGATAAAATGACATTTTCTGCAAAAAGTTTAGGACAATGACTGACTCAATAAGCACTGAATAGTAACTACGATTAATAAGATGAACTTTAACAAAAATAGTTTGCATTTTGAAAGGATGAGTAACATATTCTCCAAATTCTTTGTGGAGAAGATACTAATAATAAGTTAAATGATGTTACAAGGCTAATGCTTGGGAATTACTAGCTATAGATTATTGTTTACTATCTATTTTAAAAGGGTCCATAAGAGCATTGCCCTAGCTAAATGATCAGCTTTGTTCTAATAGCTGAATATCCCTAAAAGTGACTCAACCATTTCATAAACTTTATTTCATAATGCCAGAGAATTTTAGAGCCATTATAAACACTAGTTCTCTAAAGGTGTTTTTCCTTATGTAATTTATCACAGACATGAAGGCATTTTTCCCCATTACAAATATAGGACAAAAAGACAGAGGTTCTAGCCCTTGTTGGTTATCAGCCATATGGACTTGTAAAAAACCCAGGCTTGGATAGATCACTTAGCCACTTAGTTCTTCATCTATGAAAGGGGAAAGACATATATTGACACCTATAGCAAGGACTGGACAGTCAACTCTTCAAATTCCAACTTCTACATAATGATTTAGAGCCTTCACAACACCATCTGATGAAACAATTGAAGGAAACAGAGGAAGAAGGTGGAATAAAATGGTCCAAGTTTATCTATACCGTGCTTAGCAATTTAAGTATTCAGACTCTTTTTGTACTAAACTGACTAAATACAACTTGACTACAACATAAAGAACCAATCATTTAAAACCCTACCCTATGTAAGATCCAGTGCTGATGTAGATATTCCAGCCCTTGAAGAGTCATCAACATGTACGCTTTGATATGGGACGGTGTCAGCACGAGACTATTATCTTTGATTATAACCTGTGAAGCAAGCACACAATCATTCCAAATAAATCCACGTTTAATGACATTTCTTCTTTTTTTTTGGTTTAATGACATTTCTGTTCAAATCTTTTTTTGCTTTTCTTTTGGGTGGTAGTT